GGGGGATAAAAGCTGTCCCAAAGGCTGTTTCAAAGCAAACCTTTGCTTCTGCACAGTAACCCCCCACTGCCCCCCAAATGCAGCTGAGTCTGGGGATGAAGAGTGGGCTGGAGGCGGGGGGTTGGCTGGGGGGAGTCCCTTACTCCTGCTCTCCTTACTCCTGATTTCCATGGAGCGCTCGTGGATGCGGCCGTGGGCAACGGGCAGGGTCAGGCAGGAGAGCAGCAGGAACAGGAGGCAGGCGGCCCCCAGCTTCATCCCCGCCACCTCTCTGGCCGCAGCGGCTCAGCCCCAAAGCCTCCTGGCCCCCGGTGCTTCCTGCTGGTGCCACGAAGACAGCGGCCTCCGGACTCCAACGTGGCTGTGGGAGCAAAGGGGTTTGGCTGTCGCAGAGACACCCTGCTTGGGTTAAATGCTCACAGGGTGAGCCCCCGACCAGGAGGGGAAGGCTGCGACAGAGAGGATGGGGTGACCGTATTGCTGCTGCCGTCCCCATCACAGCATCTCTGGGCCAGCTGCGATGCCAAGGGCATGGGGCAGCCTGACCAAAACCCAGGGTTTTTTTGCTGGGGCTGATACCCCCAGGGAAAATCTCCCCTGCAAACATGAGTTGTACAAATCTCATGTTAATTAAAATAGAGTTTTGTCCTAGCTTAGGGCCTTAGGCCAGGCCTGGCATTGCCCTTTCTGGCTGGGACCCCCAACATGCCCGTGGTGGCAGGACAGCCCAGGAGATGGGGAGAGGAGCCAGCGCTGAAATACAGGGTTGGAGGCACAAATGGGTTTTGCTGCCGGATGCTGGGTGATGGATGGACCATGGCCACCTCCGTGCCCTCAGCACCCACCCCTGCAGCCGGCTGCTGAAATGATAACGCGGGAGCATGCTGTAACATGCTTCATGGCACTGAGGCAATGAGTGGGACCGTGCAAGGTGGGCTGAGCTTGATTTCTGCAGCCACCTGCAACAAGGGAGCAGGGCGAGGGGCAGAAGCTGGAGAGCCAGCTTAAGCAGGACACAGTGGGGACACAGCAGCAGCTTTATTTCCAGGGACTTTTGTAAAGGAGAAGTTTGCAGCATGCTGGGCAGGAGCCAGTCTGGGCTCTTGAGAGCTCAGGTTTGCTGCAGCCGCTGACTTTTTACAACCCCTTTTTGGAAACCTCCCAGCCAGCTGGACAGACACAAAGACAGGCACGTGTAGACAAAGCAGATCTCGGGAAATTATCCAGCAACAAAAGCATCATGAGAGGGAGAGAAAAGCAGCGCTTCCCCCTGCCGGGGCTGCACTTACCGTGGCGCAGTGAGGCGAGGTGCTTGGCTGCCGTCCTGCTGAGCCGAGTGGCCGCCGTCTGAGTCGGAGTCCCCTCCGGTTGCCGTTTTTATGGCTGGTTTTGTGCTGATGTCAGAGGCGAGCTCCGTCGGGGACCAAGCTGGGGCATCTCCCCCCGCCTCCCTCCCCGCCATCCCCTCTCATCAAATCAGCACAGGGATTTTCGTGACTCAGAAGGGACCAGCATTTTATCTCCCGCTGGCCAAGGCAGATATCTTGGGAATATGTTAATCCCTGTCCTCGACCTGGCGAAGTTTTCCACTCCATCATCATGCTCACGGTGAGCACCTCACCCAAAACCCACTTCAGAAGGGTCAGTGGGTGATACCACCCCGAATGCTGTGCCCACAAATTAGGGTCCCACTGCTGCAAACCGGCTCCACCACAGGGGGTTAGGCTGGGTGTCACCCTTCACCTTCAAAACACCCCCCTCACCCCTCCAAAGCTGCTTTAAGGAAATCAGAAAATTAAATGCAGGGGAGAAGGGAAGGCGACTGGCTGGGGCACATGGACTGGCAGGAGCGGGCTCATCCCTGCAGCATGGGCTTCAAACCTCCCGTTTTTTTAAAATGGGTTAAACCATTGCCAGGTAAAGATTTCTGATGTTTGTTCTGCCAGATGCAATGCTGGAGGAGCCAGCTTGGATCCCCAGCACGGGGGGCTGGTCAGGGTCTGAACACACATCCACCTCCAGGCAAGCTTGGAATTACTGTGACTGAAACAGGGACATCTCTTTGTTGGCAGGGTGGTGAAGACACCGTCACTGGTGGTGTGTGGGCAGGGGAAAGGGGTCTGTCTGCCAGCCCCACGCGGGGCTGGCGTCACCCTGGGGCAGATCTCCAGCTCACACTGCAGTCAGCTTGGATGCCCAAGCACAGTCAGCGTTGGGGGAGCAGCATGGGACAGAGGGTGACGGTCACAGAGCAGATTCAAAGGCAGGGAAAGGGATGAAGAAAGGAGAAAAAAAAACCAAACCCCAATCAGCTGAGGAAACCCAGACCCTGGGCTCAGCAGGGCTCTCTCCACCCCAAGGTTGTTGCTATTACAACTCCCTCTACAACTGCCTGACAGGAGGCTGTAGCGAGGTGGGGGTTGGCCTCTTCTCCCTGGTAATGGATGATAGGACAAGGGGGAATGGTTTGAAGTTGTGCCAGAGCAGGTTTAGGCTAGACATTAGGAAAAACTTCTTCACCGAAAGGGTTGTCAGGCTCTGGAATGGGCTGCCCAGGGAGGTGGTTGAGTCCCCATCCCTGGAGGTATTTAAAAGGATAGATGAGGTGCTTAGGGACATGGTTTAGCGGTGGGATGGCAGGGTTAGGTTAAAGAATGGACTTGATGATCTTAAAAGTTTTTTCCAACCAAAGTGATACTATGATTCTATTACTTAACGCATCTTTAAAGCATCCCCTTGACATTGTGGGCTTGTGTTTCAGGCTGCTTTGGCTCCCAGATTTTCTCCTGAGTTTCTATGCAAGTTGGAGCAGGGTCAGCCCCCTCCTTAACCCCCATGCTACGCATCCCCTTTGCCCGCCTGGCCTCGCTGCTGGGTACCACTGACCCATGCACATCCCAGGTCATACTTCCATCCTGTTCACTGCCATCTCCCCGCGCTCTGCTTCGGCGCCACTGCTTCGGCTCCTCTCTGCTTTCACCTGCCTAGTTTTAAAGCGAGGGGTGCACCAGCCAGTTAAAGGAGAGGATGGGGAGAGAAAGGAGCCTTCATTGAAGTGAGCTGAACAAACAGACACTGCAAAACAGGTCCTAGGTTCTGGACACAAGATTGGCTTTATTGCATGATTTAGAGTACACATATATAACCTCTACACAGGCAGATGGGACAGAAACTGGCAAATAACAATGCGGGTGACTACAGCCTGAACGACGCCTTAGTTTGTGCTGCGGAGGCTCAGGGCGAGGACATCTTCAGAGGGTCAAGTGTCCGAGCGGTTGTGTGGAAGGGCTTGAGTTACAGCTGAAACTGGGTACAGCAAGAGGTGCTGTTGGGGGGAAGGCTGAACCAGACACCAGAAGGGTCGGTGCAAACCCTTAGTATTGCCCAGATTTTGGTGGAGCTCCCTTCTGCCAGCCAAGGAGCTGCCATCCTAGCACCGAGGCCAGCTGAGCAGCAAGAGATGCACCTGGCAGCACTGTGGTGCCTGGGAGAGTTTCCACAACAGCAGTGGTTCGCACTTACCCTTCTGAACTTCAGGCCAGAAAGATTTCATTTTAAAATAAGAAACTGGTTTTGTTTCCAGCTGGAAAGCCCAGATTATGGACTTACAAGACTGCTCTGGGATGAGTGTGAGACCAATTTCTAGGCACTTAGCAGTCTCTACTACTACCAAAGCCCAATGTATGTGTTACTTGCATGAGAATTCACACTACTGCTCATAATTAAAGTGGTTTTAGTTTGGATGCATAGGAACAGCTTAAACCGGTCCAGTCCAAGTGGCCATCAATGGGAAACTGCCAGTGTTGGTCTGACATCCCCACTCCAGCTGCAAGTGATCCTCCCTGCATCACCCACTGCAGAGGGAGGTGGGGGCTATGAAGGGCAGGGGCCAGTGGGTATCGAGCAAAATCTTTTAACATGAACCTCCTCCAAAGTTTCCTGCAAGAGAAAGCAACCCCCTCTCCATCCTGATGTCCTGGGCACGGGTCTGGGCCAGGCACTGATCCATCAGGGTCAGTGGACATGGACAATTAAATGTTGGAGGAAAACAGTTTGGGGTTTCTGGGGGAGGGTGTTATCAACGTTGCTGTCACCTGGCAGGAGCCCGGGGCCACTGCAGCCCCCAAAGGCCATCCCCTCCAAAAGACTGGATGGTTCTACCAGGTTATACAATCCCATCATCAGGGACAGAGGACATGCTCATCCACAAAGCACCTCTTAGCACAGGCTAATCCCTTGGCGGAGCAGGGAAAGCCTCCAGAGAATCATCTGTGCTCTGCTTGCTGGAGTCATTCTGAACTTGCTCGTATAACCTTGCAGGGAGAGGGGACATCTTCGAGAGCTGGAAAACCACACTGATCCCCAACAAGCCCTCTGGCCTTTCTTCCACCTTTCTTGCCACCGCTTCCTGCAAGCCTTGCCTCATTCGTGTCCCCAGATGGTCACAGCTGCTTCAGGTACAGTGATGAGAAGCCTTAGTGGGTATTTGCATAGCTTCTTGCAAAGATCTGTTGGCCAGGTGCTCACTGGGAGGGAGCCAGCGCTGCTCTCACCCTGCTTTGCTGCTCAGGGAAGGGAAGCGATGCTCCAAGGCACATGGCAGAAAGTTGGGAACAGTGCTGGGATATGAATCCCAGCTTGGGATGCCTGGGTCCTTGCTCTACCTAGGGTACCCTGAGGGCATCCCATGCCTGCTGTCAGCTCCTGTCCCTGCTCTGCACCAATCTGGGAGAGCAAAGGGACAGGCTCTGACAGCGATGCAGTGACTGTGGCTGATGACATTGGCCTTTTGTGAAGGCCTGGGCCACATCACCGCTCCCAGTCCCCATGCTGAAAAGCCACACTGACGTCCATCTCCCTTCAAGAAGGTCAATCCTGCTCTGGACCGCTCTGGTCCCCTTGGTTGACCTGGTACCAAAGAGCTGCCCAAAGCTGAGGTCTCATGCTTGCATCCTCCCATGAGAGCCCCTGGCCACATGTCCACACCTCAGTGCCTCACTCATCTCCCCAGCAGCTCCCAGCAACACCCCTGCCCACAGCCTCTGGCTTCCCTCCTGTCTGGGGTTTCAGGGAGAGACGGGTGCGAGAGAAGGAAGAGCAAGCACTGGGGGGAAGGCAGCGAGGCTTTGTGCTGAGGTCTTGTATCATCAGTGAAACGCAGTGGCAGGAGGGTCACCCTCTCCTCAGGACAGGTGGGTCATCACAGGCTTCTGCAAGGCACCAGAGGGAGAAACCTCAGCTCACTGCCGTGCCCATGCCACCCCAAGCCACCTCTGCCACCCCAGGTGATGAGGCCAGCACGCTCCCTGTCCCCTCCAGCTGCCACTGCACAGAGTGAGGACCTGCCCCATCTCATGGACCACACAGGCAGTGGGAATTCAAAGATGTACATCTTGTTTGGTCTCTCCACCCTGGGGCTTATGCCACTCCCAGACCTCAGGGGGTGATGCCCAGGAGCACCCGCCCTCACCAGCCAGCATGGTGAGACCAACACTGAGAGCCTGGGGCTCTGCTGGCTCAAGGGGAGCATGGGGAGGAACAGGTCCCTCTGCACAAACCCAGCAAGGCAGGTCTCACACAGAGCCCAGGCCAGTCACCCTCCCAGGCGGCTGGGTTCATACCGCAAAGAGCCGCTCCACCCTCCTGTTCTTCCCGTTGGGGTTTCTCTGTGTCAGGGAGCCACGGTAAACAGAGTTGCGGTCGAAGGAGTCATCAAGACCTGTTGTGAAAGAAGAGAGATGAGCAGCAGGTCCTCATCCACCTCACTAGTAGTTTCAATTACCCACCAAGTCACTTCGGTTTTACTATCCCCTGCTTACCGTGGTTTTGGATGCGTGACTGCACTTCCCTCTCCAGGGGAGTGGTGGGAAGGCCTTTGACAACAGGGAGGCAAAAGCTGCTGTTACTTGGGTTTCCAGAGTGCCGTGTGAGCTGGGTCAGCCTGCCAGTGGTCAAGCTCTGCTCTGGAAACCTCCATGGTACGGCAAAAGCTTAGGCCCTGAGGAGCTCTCATCCCCCAAGGCTTTGACCCTCTCTTGACCTACTAAGTCATCTCCCCTTCTCTGCCATCAACCTCTGCCAGCTGCACCTTTGCAGGCCCAACCTTGCAAGTCATTGACCTGCTGGGGAGGGTGGTCAGGAGACCTAGTCGCCCCAGCCAAGGCAGAGGGGATTAGGTTTGCCTGGTGACGTCCGTCCTGATTGCACATCCCTCTATCTCCTTGCAGGGCTGACGTGTCCCCCGGGCTGCCTTTATCTACCTGCCCTTTGCAGGAAGGAGAGCAGATGACTCCTCCTCAGCACAAGGAGAAGGGACCGTTCCACCTACCAGCCTCAGCCTGGGAAACAAGACTGTTAATTGTCTGTGCTCAAGGGGGAAACGCAATTCCTTCTCTGCATTAAATGATATTTCCCCCCTTCCCTCCCTTTGTTGTCCATTATCTGGAAGGAGAGCCATGCTTTCTGCCTGTCAGGTTATGAGGCAAGATAAAGAGAGAAATAGAAAAGTCATTTCCTAATGGATCTCGCTGATACTGGTCAGGATGGAACATGTCCAGTGATTGCCCCCCGACACACAGGCTGCCGTGCCAAGTTTCAGGTCATCATCTAATTTAAGTACTCCCAAGCTGCCGTTTGTCGTAGCTTGGCTGTGGAGGGCCTCTTGCCCCCCACCAGAGACCAGTGGCCCGAGGCAGGTGGGCAACAGGGTCAAGGACACCTTCCCCAAGATGACCAAGAGAGGAAGAAATTGCTATCAGAAGAAATTATGGGCTTAGGCGAGGCTTTGAGATCTAACACCCAACAGTTTGCCACAAATGAAGTAATGTAGATGTCTCCCTGGACTCCAGGGTGGCAGGAGCCCAGACTGCAGAGAAAGTCCTGGTTCTTGGAAGACTGAGCCAACTCAGCCTGACCTCCACTCTCCCATCACTGTCCCTAATCCTGCCAGTTGCCTCCTCCTTTCTAAGTTATCCACCACAGGTTTCCCCTGTACTGTCCTAAAAGTAGGCCACAAGCACAGGGAAGGGGACCCCCAAAGCAGACCCACAACGGGATGAAGAGAGAGAGGACCATGCATCCCCCAAAGCCCAGCCCATCCATCCACAGGTCCCCACCTCCCATGAGCAGAGCTGCAGTCCTTACCAGTAATTTCGAGGGGGCTGTTGAACTTCCTCCTGAACCCCTGTGGTCCAGGCATCGCCTGCAAGAGAAGGGGAGCAGCCTGCTGTGGGGAAGGGGATGGAGGACAGAGGTCCCCTCTGAGGCTACCACTTCAAAAGCAGCTCCCTGGAGACTCTGGTTGTCCCCAGGCTTAATGCCGTGCCACATGCACACTGGGAAGCACAGATGAAACGCATACTCACTTTAACATCATCCGAAGGCTCCCCTGGACTGCTGCTGTGCGGACCAGGAGAGTGAAGACAGGCAGCCTGTGGGCAGAGGAAGGGCAGAGGTTTCTCTAGGGGGGGTGCAGCGGAGGCAGACGACTCAGCCTGCCTTTCTTTGCATTTTCACCTCTTTTATTTAGCCTGGTCTGATCCTAAGGTGAGCAAAAGAGGCAGCACACTGCTATGGCAGCGACTCTGCCTGATGGACTGTGATTATAAAAATTAGTGTGAGTTGAGTCCAGGCTGTGGTGCATGCAGCAGTCCTGCATGCCCTCCCTGCAGCCCCGGGAAGAGCCCCCCAAATACAAAATCCTCCCTTGATGCATGTAAGGAACCAGTGTTATCCTCCATCCCCAGTGAGACATCGACTCTCGGAGCCTTGGAACAGAGTGCCAGGCAGCAGGGAGGGAGCTGGGCACAGTTCAGCAAGCCAGGCAGCCCTTCACAGCACCCAGGGACAGCTGCAACGACCCGGGGGAGCACAGACATCTCAGGGCTGGCACCTCTCATACCCACCGTCCCCCACACTCACCTGCCCGCTTGACTTCTTCCTCGCCTTTTCCACCGACTTCACTGTCAGCCCTGCAGCGGACAGAGCTGCAATTCGAGATTCAATGTCTGATACCTTTAGAGGGAGGAAAAAAACATACAGGTGGTGGCTGAAGGATCCATCACCAGCTTCATTTGCCGTCACTGGCTGGGGGTCTGGGCAAAGCAGCTCTCAGAGCCAAGCCCTCACCTCACTCTCTGCCTGCTGCACCTGAGCGGCTGCTGAGGCCACTTTGTCCTCCAGCTCAGACAGCTCTGAGTCAGTAGTGCCGCTGTGCCGAGTCCCTTCCTCAAGCTCCTTCAGGGTCTTCTCGAGCTGGTAGGTCTTCCCAGCAGTCAGGTACACCTGAAATGCAAGAAAAAACCACTCACATTGCAGAATTAAGTTCACTGGAGTCCTCCTCTCCTGGTGTGACTGCAGCCCCAGATGCAACAGCCCCTGGCACTATTTTACAACTGCCTTCTTGCCTTGCAGCACAGACAGTACCAGTCAGCGCTGGCAGGGCTTTTCATCTCATTTCCTCACTTTCCAAGGATTTTTGAGAGCAATTACCAACAGGGTGAAGTGGTAAAAGGCTCAACAGGAACACAGGAAGGACCAAAACTCGGTGACCTACTCGAGTAGCATCAGTATCTTTACGCCATGTGCTCAGAGGGGAGGCAGGTACCTGCAAACGAGCACAGGTTGCTATGTCCTGTAGCGGCAGCAAGACTGGAAGGAGATAGACTGAATCTCCAAATCCACTCAGTCTTTTTTAAGGGTGTCTGTGCTGCTGGGTTGCCTCAGAGTAGGGTCAGGATTTGGGAGCTTGGCCCTGGGAAGTTAACCAATCTGACCCCTGCCAAAGGCAGCTTTGTACAGGGACTGCTCTGGACATGCCAGAATGAATCTGGCTGAGAGCGCCCAGCAAACATGCGTGTGAACAGAGCCCGGTGTAGCTGGTGAACCAGGCAGGGTGAACTAGGGAGTGCTGCCTGGGGATGCACAGTGACTATGGGAAGCAACGTGTTAACTTTGCTGTCAAGGTAAGAAGGGTAGAGGGACCTGACCCAATAAAACAGCTGGTTTTGCTGTCACCTGCCTCCTCCTGGGCAGGACGCAAGTCCAAGCAAAGCAATTTAGGAGACATTAATATGTCTGTATGCAATCGCATAAGATGATCAGATGGGTTGTGGCTGCTGTTTTGCTGACTGATCCCAAAATCTTGGTACGGCTAATGCAACTCCTGCTCCTCCAGCCCTCTCCGCTTTTCTTGGGCTGGGTATTGCACGAAACTGCCTGGCATGAGCCTCCTGCATGCACTGAAGTACCGACCATCCACCCAAATCACAGCAACACTCCCCATGTCCCATAGGTCCTGCTGATCCCAGTGCAAACCCTGAGGCCATAACAGATTGCAAAGGTTTGTGGGTGCTATCCGTGAAGCCACTCAACCTGTGAGTCACAGGGATACAATTTGTTGTTGGGCCATCAAGCTCTCCCAGCGCCCTCTGAGGTGGGTGGCATCCCTTGGAGAGTGGCGAGCCAGCCATGACTCAGCCAGGGCCCCGAGGGAATGGCAGGATGAGCACGTAGCTCCTGGCGCCATCATCTACCCACTGCCTTGCCCCTGCCCTCCTGCTGACAGCAGCAGCACTAAGCCCAAAGTTCATGTCCTTCCCAGCCCCAGCTCCTCTCCTGGGAGAGGGGGAACCTCAAAACCTTCATGCAGTCACTCATCTTGGGGTGCATTTGGCCAGAAAGCAGCCAGGCGGTGCAGTTTCTGAGCGCACTCTGCTCACAGCAGGTCGTTGCTTTACGTATAAGCTTTCCCTGATGAAAGACGAACCATGGAGCGTGTTATAAAACCCTGCTCCCCATCACAGGATGGGGAAACCCAACCACCTGGATGGAGATGCTCTTCACCCCATCTTTGAGCTGTTTCTTTGCAGCTTGATAAACAGCACTGCGGATGCAATCCATTTCCCACAGGGGATCAATTCACATGGGTTTACAGTAGCTAAAAAAACCTGTTGGTGCTTCACACAGTCACACAAACCTAGCAGGGTATTATGCTCTAGATGTAAACTTATCACCTGCACGAGCCCATCAGCCCCAGGCACAAGTCAGCCTTAGCGAACAGATAGGTCATGCTATCCTCATTCGTAAAAGCCTTGATGAAATGCAGTGCTGGGGAGGAACCAAAGAGAAGAGGGACACAAGCTTTTGCTGCAGCTGGAGCACAGTACTGCTGAAGTCCAGCAAAGTGGTGCTACAGCAAGCTGGGGACCATGCTCATCCTCTCTCCCTGGCACTCACCCAGGAGGAACTAGGGACCAAGGCAGGGGAAGCCATGGAACAGAGCATCTGCACTTGCTGTTGTGCCATCTCCATCGTAAGATAGCCCTGGCTGCCATCTGACAAGACTGGACTCTTTAATCCCCCTGTGGTGCCCATCTTTTTAATGCTGACCTACCCACTAACAAGAAATTTGGGGTGGGCTTTCTCTGTATTCCCACCCCCTGATGCCCTCCCTGCTTGCAGAAAGTTCTCGTGAACCTTACGTTTTCTTCAAGCTCACGGTAGGCTTCGGCCACCTCTTTCCCATCTCCCAGGCTGGGAAGCTGCCCGGCAGGGAGGGCACAGCTGCCGTTGCACTGGCTCTCTCTATGCAACGACTCACACACTGCTTTCTCCGTGGTGTTTATGGCTCTCAGTACTTTGGCTGTGATTTCGCTCAAAGCCTGAGCCGATGACCTCTGCGAATGCCCAGCACAGCCAAAGCGGAGGGTGGGAGGGGGAAGAAAATAAGGACATTATTTTAACATAGTGTACAAAACAGCACAAGTCGGGGGTGAAAGGGGCATCAGACCTTCAGGAGCTGGAGAAAGATGGAGAAGCGATAATTAAAGGGTTTACGCTGTTCCTGAAGGGCTCTCCACCGGAGATGGATGCGTGGCTAAAGCAGAGCTTTGATCTCAGCCTGTGCTTTCTGGAGGATGGCTGTGACAAAAGAGGCAATCTCAAAATGCTTGGAAAAGAGGTTATCAAGGGATGTGTTTCTTGCTGGAAGCAATGCCACTGTTGCTGTCTGACAGCAGCAGCACCTGGCCACCTGAAGGCCACTCAGCAGTTAAGGTCTAATTGCAGCATATTGCTTTACACTTCAGCAGGCCTGAGCGTGGATGCAAATAACTCCTTAAGTTTGTGGAAAAAAAAACCTCCAACCCATAAAATTATTGTATTTCCACACTGCCAGAACTTGGGACTAATGTCCCCTCTTCCCATCTCAAGGAGCACTGGTGGCAATAATGCTCGTAAGTGCTGCCTTTTGCTTGATAAAGCACTAAGCACATGTAAAAATAGACTGAAGAAACTCATAATCTCTCTCTCAACTGATAATTCCCTAGAAACCAAGGAGATGGGGGTGATATATGCACTGGTGACAAACAGTTGTGTTTACAACTGCATGTATTTCCAGGCGAGGCATACTGCAGAGAACCAGCTAACTCAATCCAGCTGATGTTTTTATAATTTTATGGTGCCTTCACGGTACAGCATAGTTTTTTTCACATTTTCCATTAGGAGCATCTGCTTTCATCTCAATGTTCCCCAGTTAGAAGACTTCCTCCTGACCGGAGAGGAGACTCACATAAAACCAAACTCAGAATCATGCAAAATCCAACTGGATCTGGTATAAGTATACGGAAAGTTGATGTTAAAAAGAAAAACCCACACTGTGACACAGCCTTTGACCAAGGCTGGTCCATCTGCATCACTGCAGGCATTTCTGACTCAATACTGCACAAAGGTATTTGACACTGAGAGTTGCTGCCATGCAAAAGGCTGAATTTTGCTTCACTTCTCAGATTTGGTTTTGCTTTAGCTGTTACAACCTAGCTGAGTCTCTCTTTGCTTAGGAGCTGTCATATAGCTCCTGTGTTACCTGCCTGCATGACCCCACTACGAGACAACTGTGCCTGTGTTGTCCCTGCCCCCATATAGCTGGGTTTTGATCAAAGAAAGTAGCAGATCTGGAGAATCTGGGCTTCATTTTATAAGAATGAAGAAGCTTTTGTTGATACCCCACTAATACCTCCCTGTTCCTCAGCACAGGCCAGAGTTCGAGCCTCTGTCCGCTGCAGATCAGCAGCTCACACAGGAATTAAGTTACCTTGGCTTGGTGAGTTACCACTTATCCCCCATGTTGCAATTAACTGGAAGTGGTTACTAAGAAGATGCAACATCGTTCAACTGATGAATGGTAGTTAAGTCTGGCTGCAGCAGTCCTCTAAAAGCAGCTTTCAGGAAAAAGGAGGCAGTGAAGGAGGATTTTGGTAAGGATGCAGTGCACTGCTGATCCAGTGTCAGTAAGAGCACAGCAAACGGCACCCAAAACTGTGAAGGAAGCTGTCCTGGGAACAGTCACTTGCTCTAATCCTGAGATTTTATGTAGAGCCATGCAGAGATTCATACCTGAGACAGACTCACTAAATGCACCGTGTGAGTACATGCAGCCACGCACTCCAAGCCCAGCAGCAGCCAGGTTTTGCCTTGCAAGGCTGAGGAACAAAAGCACATTAAAAAGGGGCCTTGTGGCACAACTGAAATCTCTGTAACCTCAGACAAAAGGAGCTTTGCAGGAGAGGAGAGGGGGAGTGCAGACCCCGCTCGCTTCCTTCACTGCCCTCACCAGCGACAGATGTGTCAGAGCAAACGCACGTGTACCCCATCCACCGCCAAGGCAGAAGGGAGGGGATGAACATACAAGCCATTAGAGACCCAACAAGGAACGCTGACCTCTCCATTCTGCACTAATGGACTGTCTCTTGAGGCTCCGCACAACTGGGGACACACGAGATCTCCCTTTCTTTCTGAGTCAGCTGAGCCGTCATCGGTTGCTCATCCCTGATGCTGTCACCCAGCCCTACCGCCTGCTGGGTGAGGCAAGAGGGAAGCGGTCCAGCACCTCTGTCACTCACTCTCCAGCCAGGGAAGCAATTCTCCCCTGCAAGCCTGCACACAAATGAATGCCTCTCCAGCCCTGCCACAGGGATACATGGGGAAAAAGCAGATCTCCAAAATGCACCCAGCAGGCAGGGCGATAAATCAGAGCTGCATGGGGGTGAGAGACCCTCTGGGGTGATGGGAACAAGGCTGCATAGATGCTGTGATCCCTCCTCCTCTCCTCGACCCATGTCCGCATGGATTGCCCACCACTGAGTAGGGGACAGGAGCCAGCACAGTGCAGTAAGCACAGGAGATGGCAACATAACAGAGTGAAAGTGGGACCAGGGATTTTGGGAGTCCCTTGCCTAGTGCAGGAGCACTGACAGGCCTGGAAGAGATGTTTCAAGCTGTAGTGGGTGCCTGACGAATGCTGCCAGTACTAAATCATCACCGAGCTCTCCTCCCACCCTGGGACTCTCTTTGCTGTAATGACATCCAGATCCTGAGATAACTCTTCTAAATAGACGTGGAGGTTGTGTACCTCTCCCTGATGGGCGGTAGCCTGTAAGACCTCTAAGAGACTTTACTTTTGACTCTTGGATGAGACTGGGAGAGCCAACAAGGACAAAGGTCCAGATCTAACAGCCTGGGACTTTCCTATCCCTTGGTACCCTGTTTAAGCAGGCAGCTGAGCCAGACAGCCCTGGGAGGCATTGAGGTGGAGGTGTGGGACAGAAGATGAGTCACATTAGCATGGTGTAAGCCATAAAACACTGAGAGAAGAAGGAACTGCAGATGGAGCCCAGAACGGTATGGGTGGGAGGACACAGATTACCTTTCGAGCATCTCTGGCCACGTCATCACTGGAGGAACTCATCTCTGGCTTCTTCACTCTCTTTTCTTCACGCTCCTCTTCTTCAGAAGAGACTTCTTTGTCACTGATGTTGCTAGCTAACTCCTCCAGCTTCCTCTTCAATTCCTCCTCCTCGGCATCAGGATCGAGTTGGGACTCTGGGCCTGGAGACTGAAGGAGCAGAAGAAGGGAGTTGTGTAAGTGTCTCCTGTGGCAGACCATGGGGCATGCACAGGACCAGACGCACTCACCCAGACTGGCCAGCAAAGGAGCTCGAGGAGTGCAGATGGACTTTGCAAAGGGGACTTCAACCCCCCTCCCCACACCCATTTTCACAAGGGGCAGCCAGATCACCCAGGGGAGCAGCAGAACCCAGCAAGCTGCACTCCAGCTCTATACCAAGGAATACAAAGTCTTGGTCTGAAGAACTTCCCATCCATTTTGCCCCCCACAGAACTTGCTTGTTTTTCCCTGCGGAAAATCACCTTTCCCCTGCCCTTAAAAAGGTGCGCATGGGACATTTGTGGCCAAAGGTCATGAAGCAGCCATGGAGCTGTAGGTAATTTTATTAGTGATGCGAAAGGACGCAGCAAATTTCCCTGCAGGATAGGTGGCATATTTCCACCTGCCCCTGTTATTAGGTGGAATTCACGGTACCTGCAGAAGAATCCTATTAAACTCCCAGGCGCTGGAAGGGATCTCCAGAAGTTACTGAACTCGCTGCCCCTTGAGTTAAGATGGGAATACAATTATCTGTGTCATACTTGATGGGTTTTTGTCTAAGCTGTTCTTAATAACCTTGAACAATGGCATCCACAGCAGGCAATCTTTCTCCCAGGCAACATATTCCCGGGCTCTTCTACCTTTTCTGCTAGAAAGCTTTTCTTAATAGTTAACCTCAACCTGTCCTGAAGCAGTTTAGACCCATTGCCTCTGCTCTGATCTGCCCTAGGCATGGCAACAAAGCATGGGAACCTGCAAACATGTACGTCTCCTACTTCCTTGGTCAGACTTACTGACAGAAACACTGAATGGTTGCAGACATGGCCCTCTCCAGTATAAATTTTACAAAAAAGAAGAAATTGTGTTGTTTCACCTGCCCCTAAGGGACTTCTCTGTAATTATCACTGTCCATCCTACTGAGCCATCAGCCACCAGAGCAGCTCACGGTGATGGGTTCACACAAAGGAGAAGAGTACATGGTCTAAAATTAGAAACCCCAAATCAATGTCGGGTGACCTAAGTATTCACAGAGTCTACATTGCTGCCCAGGTTTAACTTAATTTAGCTGTTTGCTTCCAAGCTTGATGGCACAGTAAGACAAGGGCAGCTCAGAAGAGATACAGCAATCCTTCTTGACTCAAATCTCATATTCACAATAACCAGGTGACTTCTTCATATCTACGAATTGATTCTCCCATGATTTCAAATGAGCCATCACAGCTCTGTGGATGTACCGACATCCACTTAACAATATTCCTGAAATTAGCATTTCATAGAGTATCAAACTGAAATGCAATTTTCCTTGTGCACAAAGGGCAAGGAAAGCACTAACTTGCACGGCGGGCCTAAATGCCATGGGTTAAATTTGCTTGTTTCTGTCCTGCCATGCAATGTTTTCTAAGGTACTCCAGCACCTGAACCTAGAGAAGAGACTCCAAGGCCAAAACAGAAGATTAAAATCGAACAGTGTGAACCATTTTGTCTATCCAACCTTCTCTATGCAATGCTGGCTGTTTCAGAGCAGCCTCTCCGATGACAAAGGGAAGGGACCAGCACAGCCCATGCTCTCTCCCTGCAGAGAGTGCCCCGGCTTTGCCCAGTTACCTCATCAGATCGCACCAGGATTTTTTCCTCCAAGCGGTTCATTTCGTTCGATTGCGGACATGCGTTTGTTGAGCTCATGAATCTAGAGGAAAGGAGAGAGAAAAGGAATAGAGAACAGACCAGCCACCGCTGCCAGCACAGTGAGGAAACAGTGCAACCAGCAGAAGAAAGCAAGAAGCGAGTGGGCTGAGTTAAAAGACATTTAAAAATGTCTTAAAAAAATGGCCCTGGATACCCTGAAGAGCTCCAGCACAGCCTCTCCTCAAATCTGGAAATCTCAAAGCGATGCTGAGTACCCAGCACGCTGCAATTCCCACCGAAGCATCAGTAGCAGTGAGCATAAACCCACATCACTGACCCCTTGCCCAGACAAAAGCACCAGGCTGTTACAAAGCCATCTACCTTGCCATCTTTCACATGCTGCCCCAAAGTCAAGTCAACATAAATTTTCACTTCCTATTAACACATTTTTCAAGCAGCTACTACCCCATCATCCCCCTGCCAGTACAGGGCTGGAAAGGAAAACAGAAGAAGGTGAGAATTTCCCATGAAAAATTCCAGACAGAAAAACTAAAACTGAAAGTTTTCCCCAACACACTTTGAAACTTTCTGACTTCTCCATGCATTGATCTACCAAGATGCTTGCCCCTCTTTTCTCCCTCACTCTTCCAAGGCAAAAAAAGGGGCATGGAGAGAAGAGAAGACAGACAAAATCCTGAAAAGTTACTTTCTATGCTCAAGAGCTAAGACAAACTTTTGTGGTTAAATCACTGAAAACATTAAAGGAAGCTTTTTTTTTTCGTTTTAGAAATTGAAGTTTTGCTTTCTTTAAAAAATAAAAAAGTCTTTCTCCTTTGATCCAAACAAATAAAACACAAATGACGAGAACTACTGCCCATTTTATAACACTATATACACATCACTGCTGTTCTGAGTGGCTGCCTCCCATTCAAAGGGGAAGTAGCAGCAAATGCAGTAAGTAAATGCAGTAACAAAGAGATGCAAGGGCTTGGCTTTGGTTTTATAACATTTCCATCCTCTCACTTAGTTTTTGTGCTTGCTAGTGTTCTATTAATTAGATCCTCACAACAGCTTGGAGAGATTGCATCTGTTTAAGGGAAGATGAATATAAAAACCTGACACTCTGGAGGGCAGAGCGCTGTAATTACTGTCCCGAACTGAATGAATCTTTAAACAGCATTGAACCCACAGGCAGGAAGCAATCCAGTTCGTCTCTAAGTGGTTTCTTAGTACTGTTGAAGGCCTGACTCTTGCATTGCTCCTGGTGACAATGAGAAGTCTGTGATGAGCCATCAGCTTCAGATGGTGATGAACTGAGCACCTGGCACCACTGTGCCACCGTAAGACAGAGGTTCAGAGAGGCCAGAGCATAATGGACTACAAGGATAGGAGCTGAAGAGCTTGCTTTCCCTCTCCTTCCCAAGCAAGGCTGGTTTTAATGCATGGTAGGTCACTCCATTAGGGTGCATCCCCACCACGGCCTGGACCGCCCTGCACTGCTTTCTGCAAGACAAAGGCTGGCAAATGCTGCTCTGTATTAAAACATTTAAAGCAAAGAAACTTAAAACACAGCCCAAAAGGAGGACATCAGTTAGGGCAAACTATTCACTTGCTGCTGGGGAGGTGCTGCCTCCAGTCTCTCAAATACCCAAGACCTCTAATAGAAGCTTTATGTAAAGAAGAGGAGCCAGACGGCATCAAAGCTTCAGGAATCCAAAACAACTGAGCTGTCCTGAGGTACAGCAGAATGGCTTTTGGGGAGAAACTTGGTAAATTGGTGCTATTCCTTGTGCCTTGGTCCTGTTCCTACCTGGCTTCTAAAGACCTAAAGGCAAAGATCTGCACAGTCACCAATTCAGGGCTTCTTTTCATGCCTCATCATGTTTAAGAGCTTTTTTTAATAGTGGGTTTTTTTTTAAATTTTGTTCTAGCACCTTCAGGTCCTGGAGTCACAGGGCTAGGGAACAGCCCCTGCTTTTGTTACTGGAGAAGTTAAGTTTCTTGTGTTTGGGACTGAACAGTGTATCCTCTCCAGAATGAAAGCAAAAGCAATTTTCAGATCAAACATATTTTGAGAAACTTGCACCTAAGGCGGTTTTAGGAAAGAGGGGTTTCATCTGTGGGGTCAAAGTGATGCAGGGCAAAGAGCTGAGCTCTTCACCTCTAGAAACCTTCAGATGCCAACAAGATGTCTATCAGGAAAACATTGCTTTTGAAGCCAGGCTATGGGATTCAATACAGGGTTAACAGGGCTTAACAAACATGCTTCTGGACCTTACATCCCACAGGCCAACATCTTGAATCGCCAAGAGGGCACAGCCTCTGAGAAGTGCAGCACCAGGGTGACCAGTTGTACTCAGCCATCCTCGCTGTCCCCTGGGATGTCCCACAAGGGGCCGGGATACCCCATAAGCCCCGACAACGGCTACATAACCTGGAAGTGCCTGTAAGCAGCTCAAGAGCCAGTGCTTTGCTGCTCAGGTCCCAGCAATGCTGCTTGCTGTCCCAAATTCCTCGTGGCCTGTCTCTGTCCTCCTCTCTGCCCTCAGCCCTTCCAACAAGAGGATGGACGTCAGCCTCTTCTGAACCTCTTCCAACTCTGCCAATACAACAGAGCTGCCTAGCACTGAAATCTGGATGTTCTTGCCTTCTCTCTTTTTTGGGCTTGTACCTGGCCTCTCCTTGGCCAACGGCGACAGCGGCGCATGCGTACATCATTCTGAAGTTAATGGTGCAGCACAGAGCTGGGTCTCTTCCTGTTGGTTGAGGAGAAGGCTCTGTGGGAGGGTGGTTGCTAGCTGTAAACCCATCAGCAGCACAAAGTGCAGGAAGGATGAAGAGCTATTTAGGCTAATGAATGATGTTGGTATAAGAGCAAATGGGGTTAAATTGGGAGTGAGAAGATGTCTCATGACCTTTAGAGTGACAAGGCTCCACAGCAGCCTTCATACTGGTGTGACGGAGCAAACCACAAAGCACTCCAGACCTCCCTGACGTGAGAGCTTGCCCAGCTGGTGAAGGAAGTCATCTGAAGCGTTGGTAGGAATTTGGCCCCATTTCCCCACTGAAAAACACGGTGCACATTTCATGCCTAATGTACTGTGGCCTCATTAAAGACACCTAGTCCAGGGTTCTTCCATTTACCGCTGACTCAAAAAAGAATGGCACTTACTAATTAAAAC